GGCGGAGGAGAGAAGAGAGGAGGAGGAGGAAGAGGAGGAGGCCCGGCGTGCGAGCGGCCGCAGACGCCCGCGCGCCAGATTCCAGCGCCGGCCTTCATCGAGTTCCAGGCCGGGCCGCGCGGAGCCGGCGCGTCGGGCGCCGGCTCGTACGGGGTCAGCGTGGCGGGCGCTAAACCCGCCAAAGTTTGGCCCGCTGTCCCCCTCGGGCCCCGGGGCCCGGGTCCCGGAGGTCCGTGGGGTCCCGGTGGCCCTCTGGCCCTCGAGGGCCCCGGTCCCTCTCTCTCGACCTCTCCTCCCCCGCTCTTCGGGTTTAGCCGTGGGTTAGGGCTCGGACTCCTTCCGTAGCCCTTTGGGCTTAGGCTGCGCGCCTGGTGCTTTGTAAAACGTATCCTCCCCCCTTCGCCCCCTTTCCACACTTCCCACCGTGCTCTCAGCTTGGGACAACACTGCCAGCCAGCCGGGAACGCTGCTGCTCAGGCCGTGCTCCCCAACACGTTCCATCACTGGGACCTCAAGCCCAAGCCATCCACATCAGTGCAATAGCTGCCATAAGAAGGCAGCGGTCTCCGCAGCTCTACTGAAGACTAGCCAGTAGGAGGTGGCCACGAACACCAGACCAATGGAGTGCACGAGGCCGCAGTTCCAGCCCCGACGAACCCCTCTCCCCGCATTGCATAAGACAGCAACAAAAGGCCCAAACACTGTTCCAACCCAACCCATGCGCCGCGGTCACTACGCGGCGATGGCCTTTTTACTACCATGACCTCCCAAAACGCCCCAAACCACCCGGACTCCGTAACCCTCCCTGGAATACACGTCCTGCTTCACCTCCTCCCTATCCGCCTCATTCCCCTCCCCCCTCCACCCCCTCCTCGCTGATAAACCGTCCTCATTTACCCCCACACTCCTCCTTCTCCACTTCTTCCTCATCCACCTGCCCGTGCAATTCCTGTCAACCGATTCTACTCGATTTGGCCACTGCTCATGAAAGCATGCGGGCCCAGACTGATGTGTCGCTGGAATGTATGTTCGGCCCTTGTCGTACACACAGATGGACACCCATGACGGGTGAAGTATGCATTCGAAAATGATGAATCCTTCGAGATCGGAGGTTGGATGAGGGGGGACTAGGTGGCGACATTCGACCCTTACCCCCAGTAACCATCGATTCTCCAGAATCGATGGGAGGCGGGGGTAGGGTTCGGATTTCGCAACGTGTTCAACGACTTCCGAACCCTACCCCCGCCGCCCATGGAGTTGCCTGAATCGTTGATCGGCGAGGGTAGGGCTCGGATTTCGCCGCCGAGAGATCGAAACAAAACGAAGTCCCCCAAATCGAAGCCGCACTGACCCGGGTCAACGCAAACCTGGGCCACTCAGGCCTTGCAAGATCCTGCACGCTAGCCCGGGTCAGCGCAGTCCTGGCTCGACAGGATCCTGCAAGATCCGCCGCCCTGGCCGACCCCCGATTGCATTGGCCCGCGTCCCTTTCGGGCGGGTGATAATGGGGAGTGGCCTGAAGGGGGGTGAAGAGAATCGCCCTCAAGGCCTCAAGGGGCCGTTTTGGAGCCCCTTTTGGAGCCAGAAGGCTGTTGCCTCTTGGGGGCCTCTTGGCCTTCGGAGGCAGTCTGGGGCTCTCCCGGTGCTTTCGTGGGCTGTTATTTGGGCGCTTTCGGGCCGTCTTGGAGGCTTCTGGGGCCGTCCTGTGGCCAGTTTGGGGGGCCTCTTGGGCTGTCGTGGGGCCCTCTTCGGCCGTCTTGCGGGCCTCTTGGTCCGTCTTGGAGCGTCGGAAGCCAGAAAAAACGAGAACGCTAAATTCATTGAAACGCCTCAGGAACATCCGTGATGTTGGCCTCCTGGAGGTCCTCCTGGGCCTCTTGGGGGCTCTCTTGGGGGCCTCTTGGGACCTCTTGGCCTGCGAAGGCCGTCTTGGGTCCTCCCTGGGCAGTCACGAGTCCCCGTTTGGGGGCCTGAGGGCCGTCTTGGGGGTCTCTGGGGCCGCCTTGTGGCCGTCTTGGAGGCCTCTTGGGCTGTTTTGGGGCCCTCTCGGGCCGTCTTGCGGGCCTCTTGTGGGTCTCTCGGCCCGTTTTGGGGCGATCATGGGGGCTTAATGTGCCAGTCTTGGAGCGTCGGATGCCCGAACAAACGAAAACGCTAAACTCAGTAAAACAACTGCAAAAACATGCCTACTGGAAGGCCGTCTGGAGACATTTTGGGCCCTCCTGGGCCTCTTGGAAGCTCGCCCGACACTGCAACTGCAACGCCGTCTTGCGCTCGTTTCGTGCCGTCTTCAGCCGTTTTTCCGCCCGTGTCCGGGGCCAGATTTCGAGGGGTATCCCCCCCAGACGCCCCCGCGGGGACACACAACGGCAACCCCTCTGCAAGGTCGGGGACAAGGGGGGGGGTACTTACCCCCCCCCCTGCCCCGTGCAGCAAGGCAAATTGGAAAAGGCGCGCCACCCTTGGCAATTCGGGCCTCGGGGGACGAACTCTCCCCTCCCCTCCGCGCCAGCACGCGACGACTGCAACAACGAAAACGACGACGACCCACACACGCCAGCCAAATCTCATGTCCCGTCCGGCCGATCGACCCGACTGCATTAATGTCCCGCTCGCCCAACAAACCCAGTTTAATCTCCAATCTGCCCGACTGCGTTAAGGTCCTGCCCGCCAGAACCACCCGCTTGAATGTCCCTTTCCGACTCCCCCGCTTTAGTGTCCCGCCGGCGTCGTCGTCCGAGTCGTCTCTTTGCTTGCCGGCGCGAGCGGGCGGGGAGAAGGGGAGGGGCGGCTTCGGATGCGGATGGTCGCGCCTCTTGTTTTGGAAGGGGGCGGCTGATTGCGGAGTGGCCCCTTGCTGTTTTCGATCCAAACACCCGGGAGACGTTACGCTTCTTCTAGCAGAAGCACTGGCTTCATAAAACACGCTTGCGTTGACTATTCGCTCTTCCACTGGGCGCGGCGTTGGACAGTGGGCCCGTTCGGGGGCCAAAGGCGAAGACTGGGCGTCCCGCGGCGGCTGTGCGGTCGGAACAACCACATGGGATCGCGTTGACGTTCGCCACATGCCGGTCCTTGCCACTTGGGACATCGCTCGGCTACGCTGCGGGTGCCGACGCTTGATGTCGCGCGGCCCGCCATCCCATCAGGGTTTCGCGTGTGGTTTGGCTGGAACCTGGACCGTCTATCTTGTTTGCGCGCCGAGAATACTGCGCCGAACCGAAAGTTTTCCCAATTTCGCCACCGTGCTCGCCGCGGCAATTTGGGGTGGCGCGCGCAGGATAAGACTCGCGGGGCCCGAAGGCGGACGGGGGCGATGTTGCGAGGGCAGAGTCGGCGCGCCGATGGGCAGCCCAGCACCCCGTTTGGCCGGAGGGGCGCCCAGTACACTGCAAGGGCAGAGCCTAACCCCCGCCCGGGGTCGTCGGATCGGGTTCCCCTTCCCAATTTGAAAATATTAAATCCCAAACGGTGTACTGACCCGAAAATGAGCAAGCGGCATCGGACTCCCTCGAAAAAAGCTTTCGGGCTCGGTCATGCGACGACCCGAAAAGTTTGCCGGCCGACCTGAAAGTGGCCAAATCCCATCAGACTTGCACCAAACAGAAATTCGGGTCCGGTTCGCACGACCCGAAGATGTGCGAACCGCCCAGGACTCCTTGCAAAAACGTTAAATCCCTAACGGTGCACTGACCCGAAAATGAGCAAACGGCATAGGACCTCCTCGACAAAAGCTTTCGGGCTCGGTCATGCGACGACCCGAAATGTTTACCGGCCGGCCTGAACGTGGCTGAATCCCATCGGACTTGCGCCAAAAAAACCGGGTCCGGTTCGCACGACCCGAAGATGTGCAAACATCCCAGGACTCCTTGCAAAAACGTCGTTCTCGAGGTCTTCGGGCCCGCACCGAAGAAACCGAACATGGGCAAACCGCCTAGACCTTCCTTTCAAAAACGGTTTCTCGGTGGTTCCGGGCCTCGTCCGAAGGAGCCGCCGATGGGCAGACCGCTCAGGACTTCCTGCACAAGAAACGGTTTCCCGGGCGAGCCATTGTCAATGGGAACGCGCCCCGCGCGGGATCGGGGTTCGCCCGGGGGCGCGGCTGCTCCCGCCTGTCCAGGGGGCATGCATTGCCGCGCCCTTCCAGCATAGCGTTTGCGCCGCATTCGCGCGGCGCCGTGCCTCTCAAATCGGAATAAACTTTCGGAGCGCCGATGTAGAATATTGTCTGGGTCTGGCCTGCGACTCGTGAACCCTTTTGGTTGTTATTCTGTGGTGTTCAGCTGTGCAAATGACTGTATTGTTGTTTGCCGCATGTATTCGGCCATGTGTGGTAAGTGTTCGGCCTGTTCGGCTACGTGTATTGTTGTGTTTTTTACTGGTACGTTGTAGCGTTATTTCGATGTAAAGAAATTAATTCTGGCGCGTGATGGCTAGAAGCGATGGGAGGTCGCGGATGCGCGCTCTTGATGGTGCACCATGTCTTCTATCTTATGTCGTAGGCTACAGATCTGCACGTCATAGCTTAACCTTTGCACAACACACCGAAAAAAACACGCAACCTGGCCGAATACGATGTTCTGGGTTGATCCGCCGGCACTGAGATGGGACGGCCTGCAAGGTCCTATCGCAGTGCGGCCGCTTGCGCAAAAACGGGCGTCGCGGATCCACGCCCGAGCACCTACCAACCCCTTGGAACGATTGAATACTGTGAGGCTCGATTGAGGCGGCGTCAATCTAAACCCGATGAAGCCAGACCAATTCAAGGATTAAGCCCGATGCAGCCTGATCAAACCCGACTCAGTAAGACCAGGGCTGATTCCGACAACACATACATATACATCATACAAGCACGACCAAACCAAGGCCGATGTTGAATTCGCCCTCGCGGACCAATCCGAAAGTATCGATGCGATCGCAGCTCAAAGCGCCTGGCACCCCAAAAGGAACTTGTGCGCCCGCTCCACTCCTTCAGAAGAGACGCTGCGCCCGCGCGGTGCCTTTCCCCAGCGAAGGTGAAGCGGGAGAAGGCGAACGCCAACTGTCGCGGGCGTACGGGATGGCTCGGGAAGGCCCATGCCAGAGAATGGGGGGAAGTGGAGGCTCGCGACTGGTCAACATTAGAAGGCTGGCAGCTCTCTTCCTCCTCCTCCTCATCCACTGACTTTCTCCTTCAAACTCCCCTCGCGTCGCATCCCTTTCAATCCTCCTCCTCCTCCTCCTTCTCCTCTCGCCCTCTCTGCCTCCTCCTACTTTCGTCTACGCGTCCTCGAGCCTCTCTCTCTCTCTCTCTCTTGCCTCTCCCCCCTGCGCCCCTCTATGCCTCCCGTATCATGCAGAGCACGAGAGAAAGGGAGAGAGAAGGAGGGAGCGAGGGCGAGAAAGCGAGAACGCGAGAGAGAGAGAGAGACAGAGAGATAGAGAGAAAGAGGTAACTATAGAGACATAGCGTGAGAGACATAGCGAGTAACGGATAGAGGGAGAGAGAGAGAGAGAGCGCGAGAGAGAGAGAGAGAGAGAAACAGAGAAACGAAGTAATCTACGACACGACATCGATGCGGATAGCGGGTCGGCCCAGGCGCCCTGTGGCAAACCGCCGGCGCACCCAACGCTTCTGCCCGGCGTCGCAACGACTGGGACAGGGGACGAAGACGATCCCCTGGCGCGCGACAATGCGCACGACTGACCGGGTATTGCCGATGGTGGGATCGCCTTCCACCGCCACCACCATAAGTAAGAGGGGAAGGGGGTCCTCCTCCTCCTCCTCCTCCTCCTCCTCCTCCTCCTCCTTCTCTTCTTCCCCCTCGTCATCCTCCACCTCCTTCCGCCCTCCAACTTATGGTGGAGGTGGTGGTGGAAAGCACGCCCCTCAGCCGAGGCCCCGAACGGCGCGCAGCGTACGACCACCGGGGAGCTCGCGGGAAAAGGGCCACAGGCCAGACGACACCCTGCGGGGGCGCCTCCCCGGACGTGACGGTCCCCCCCGACGCCGACGCGGCACCCCACGCGGAGGCTGCTCGGAGAAGCGCTGCGAGCGGGGCAAAAAAGCAGCGGAAAGACGAAAGTTCGGGGTGCAACGCGCCAGGGCATGAGTGGCCCATAACGCCATGGCTCGACTCGCCGCTGCACGCAGCCACGTGAGCAGCGAGGAGCTGGCGGAGGGTGGCCCGGAGTTCAGCCTGCCTGCGCATCTGCCCCCAAAGGGCGCTGGCGAGTGCGGTAGGGGCCGCTTCAACTTGTGCCGCCTCTTCGTCGCCTTGGCGCTGCAGGCTGCGATGTCTCTGCACGAGGGTCGGGCACTGGGCGCGAGCGGTGGCGTGGCTGGCACCGAGGGGGGAGTGCCGCGGCAGCGGCAGCGGGTGGCCACGAGGGGTCGTGGAGGCCGGGAGCCGGTGGGGTGCCGTTCTGGGTGCGGGTGCAAGAGTGTCAGTACTGTGCAGGGCACCTGAGCGACAATCAAAAACGGGTCTTACCCGAGTACCCGAGATGGCACGGCGAGCTTACGCCGCAGCTTACGAGGGCCGCCAGCGCGGCAAGCCAGTGGAGACGAGGGTGCTTACGCGCGACCTTACGCGAGCAACTTACGCGCAAATGTCGGCGCAGTCGAACCATTTTTTTGCGTCGCTCACCTGGAGGTCCGCGGGGACGGGCCCTGAGCCTGACCTGGACTCGGTGAGCGGCGCTGCTGCTGGTTCCCGTGGCTGTGGCCAAGGTGGGCGACAGGTGCGGGCTCTGCAGGTCGCCCGCTCGGTCACCGTCCGTCGGGGAGACGCGGGCGGGCGCCGCGCGGCTGTTGTGGGCAACGCGGGGCGAAGGGGAGCGTGTCCCTTGCCCGAGGGCAGCCCTGCCTGCGCCTGGAGGGGCACAGAGACAGTCGTCGTCGCGCTGGTCGAGAGTGCCTCCCAGGCCGAGAGGATGATCGCAATCGTCCTCGGCGTCGGGATTGCCATCGCCCCAGGCCTCCTCGAAGAGTGCCAGGCCACCCGTTGGGGAGGCGTGGGCTGAAGCCACCCGCTGGCCTTTTTGGACGCCCCGAAAGGGTACGGAAAACATGAGACCAAGAAATGTTGTCCAAAACCGACAGCGGCCGCTGTTCGGCAGGCGACTTGTTGAAGCGGCGCGGACAGCCAGTCCTGCTCGAAATGACCAGGAACTGCTGTTGGGCACCGTACCCATTCTTACCGTACCCATTTCGATCGTCCAGAGCCTTGGAGCAGGGCATCGGGGTTGACGCTGGCCCTTTGGGCCCGAGCTCTTGGCTGCCCCCGCGCATGGCTCGACGTGGCCGCGGGGCGCGGTCGGGGTCGTAGTCGACCGGTGGCGTGGCGGCCCCTGGGGGCGACCCTCCTCCTCCTCCTCCTCCTCCTCCTCCTGCTCCTCCTCCTCCTCCTCCCAGACATCCGGCGTCTCGATGCTGTTCGATAGACATTTATTGCCCCCATCCTGCACGGCCGACCTCGGAGGACCACTTGGACACCCGAAGGTCGTTGGTGACCAGAGTGAGCATCGAGCCCTTCGACGCGGCAATCAGCGCTGGCGAGCACTGCTTCGGTGCCGCGCAGCTCGAGAGCGACAGCCTCAGCAACCTCGCCGTCTCGCGACATGCGCACACCGACCCCACGCCCGCCTCTGACAGCGTCGCAGCCGCCGCGCTTGTTGAAGATGGCAGGGGCGGCGCCCATCTTGACTGCGGTTTCGCGCCAGATGATCGTCCGCGCGCCTAGGTGGCCGTGGCGGCCAGGCAAGAGGTGCCGCGGTGGCTGGTGTCATTGGTGATCCCGCCTGCGCCCGACGTGGCAAGGACTGCGTGGACGTCCAAAGGGAAGTGCCGAACACGGCCGCGAGAATGCGGTTGCCCCAGGCCGACCCGCGGTGGCCGAACTGGATGGGTTGCGCACGGAGCGTGGCGGCGGCGAGCTGGTTCTGAGTGACAGCCTCGGGCGCGTGACCAAACGCCTCGTCCAGCTCACGTTTGGCCTCGCTGCTGGAGTCGCCATGCGACGCCTGCGGGCTGCCTGCTGGGCTGCGCCCTCGCCGGCGCGAGGCTCTTGAGAAGCCCCGTGGACGGGGGCGTATCCTGAGAATTGCTCGGTGAACAGCTCTTGGAACGTGTCGAGGGCGTCGGTGACCTCCATGTCGTAAACGGTGACTCGGATCCAGGTAGCGTTGAGAGCTGTATCGAGAGTGACGTGGGTTGCGTCCTGGCGGCGCTCGACCTCCCTGGATCCGAACTGGTGGCTACCCTCGACGTGAGCGGACTGGGCATTGGCGGCCACAGCGTCGCGCATCAGCGCACGGATGGCCATGTCCTGCCCTGGATAAGAAAAGGGGTTCTTTGGCACGGAAACCTCTGAGGCTAGCGGTTGGCCTTGGATGCGGCGTTGGGTGAGCAACGTCCCGCTTCTTCTGGGCCTTTACAGGAGACGCTGCTTGTGTCTGCGTCGTCGTCTGAGGCGCGCGGTGGTAGAGGGACGATTGGGACTGACCGGCTCGGTGCGTCGAGGCTCGTCATTTGTGAATCGACCTGCTTGGTGGTGTTTGGGCGGCGGGCCAAACATTTGAGCTGGTCCGCTCGCCGTGGACGCGGCTGGCCTTGGGCACGGCGTTGCGCCGGCATCAGAGGTGCTGGGGGGCCTTGCGGAGCTCGGTACGTAGGGTGATCCGCGCGCGGGCGGCAGATGCGATCGATCGAGCTCCGAGGGGGCGGTCCGCGGGGAGCCTGTCGTATACCCGAGAAAAGCAGGATCCGCTCCTGCGTCCTAGAAGACTGCGACCGAAGGCCCCCCTGCGAGCACCATTTAGGGGGAAAACTAACCTACCTCGCTTTTGACCACCCTCGCTTCCAAGAGATACCAAACGATGCCAAATTGCAGCCTGCACTGGTCAGGCCGCTTGACGAGGAGGCGCGTGGTATGACTTGGTTTTGCCTGGAAGCGAAAGCGGGGTAGGTATCTCACGCTCTGACCATTGGACTCAGAGGCAATCGCCTTCTCTGTCTTGTCGGCGGACTTGGGGCGGCGATCCGCAATTGCGAGGCGGCAGCGCGGTGAGAAGAGCGATGGAGAGAGGAACCCTGTGGACGGGGGCCACAATCCTCGACAACATTCACCTCAAAAGTGATTGACATGCCACTTCGATGTTGCCCCCTTTCACCCCTGCGATGTTGCCCCCCTTCGATGTCGAAGCAGTGCGAAACGCGGTCTGGGCGAGTGCGAAACGCGGTCTGGGCGAGTGCGACTCGAAAATTCGAAGACGACCGACACTGGAGAAAGGGGCGCCAACACGTGCCTTGCGCGCACGACACGGAAACTGCGCGACACATGTTCTCGAGGATAGCTTGGTCGATGGTGGTAGGATGGTTACGACCAGGCGCGCCAGGACAGAGGCTGAGGGGTGCTGTCCAGGTCCAGCCTTGACAGCACGCCTTGGACCAAGAGCCTAGCGAGCCACATGGAGAGACGGAGCGCGAGAAGGAGACAGAGAGAGAGAGAGAGAACGCAAGCCCAGTGTGCTTTCCAAGGCCGTCGAGAAGCGTCTACGTCCTCGATGTCCGGTCCAAGATCCTCGGCCCCCGAGACTAGAAGACGAAGAAGAACAAGCAGAATAAGCAGAAACCTCCCCACAAAAATTCACGTTCGAAAGCTCGCGCGGAGTTTTGTCGGATCGGCGCATGCCGGAGGCGTGCCAGGGGCGGCGCCGGAGGCGCCGCAGCGGGGGCCCAAAAAGCCAGCGGGGCGCAGGCCATCGCGGAAGTCCGATGTTTTATTCATTCGTCTTCCTTGCCGTCGCCCGGACGTCCATTCCCCGTGCACTGTTCAGTTTCGTGCTTATGACATTCTCGAGATGACGAGAGAGATGCTCCTGGATGGTCCAACTCTTCGAGGCGCTGGCCTCGTCGAGAAAGATTCGGGGATGGACAGACCCCCCTTTAGTAAAACGTGGTTTAGTGGAAACGACCTGAGGCCCAAACCTGGCGGGCGCAAGCCCGGAAAATAGCGGCCACGGCGCCCTCTCGAGAACCGAAAACGGACAATTCACTAATCGACGTGTCACTGTTGAGGGTTCTGTCCACCCCCGAAAAGAGATGCTCCTGGATGGTCCAACTGTTCGAGGCGCTGGCCTCGTCGAGAAAAATGGCACCCGTCCGAGCGATGCCGAGCTCCGAGGGCCTCGAGGGGAAAGGGGGGCGCCGCGGGGCGCCTGCGCCAGGTGCAGCGTCGAGCAATCCCCGATGCGCCTCACCGCCTGGCGGCGCCGCGGGGGCGGGCGACGTCGCTCTGCGGGCCCCCCCCGTGCCAGCCCCTGCGCAGGAACTCAGGGGAGCCTCCCCTGACCATCTCGGTTGCCCTTGCGAGTCGAAAACTCATCGACGCCAGGCGGTGCGGGATCGACGCGGGTCGGTGCGACATCGACGCCGGTCGACGCTAAATCGGCGCTAATCGAATCGACGCTAGCCGACGCTAGCCGACGCTCCTCGACGCTAAATCGGCGCTGTCTCATCGATTGCCGAAATATGATCGACGCTACTGCACTTCGAAGACGGAACTGCACCCGTACGCAACGCTCACGAAGTTATCAAATGGCAAGGACATGCCCAAGAACATGAGCCCTTCATAGAGAAAGGAACAACACTATACACATAAACTGTTGGCGCTCCGCGCGGATTTCTTGGATCTGCGCTTGGCCCCCCTGGCGGCGCCTCCGGCGCCGCCCCTCGCGCGCTCCGCGCGACAGGGAGGGGGCCCAAGAACTCCACTCGGAGCGCCAAGCACAGATCCAAGAAATCCGCTTGAAGCGCCAAACGTTTATGTTTAAAGCGTTTTTTCTTCTACGACTTCAGCCGACCAAGATCGCCGTCAGACCACAGATGGCACGCCTCCTGGCGATGCTGGCCCTGGCCCTGGCCTCAAGCATCGTGCGATGCTGGCCCTGGCCTCGACCACGAGCCCTGCAGCCTGCAGCCCACCAGGTCATCGAATGCCGCTCTTCGCGCTGGCAGCGGAGCGTGGTCATCCTGGCGCTCCCCCGCCCTCAGCACCATGGAGAAGAGCAGCTCTCTCGCTGTTTCTCTTTCTCTTTTCTTCCCCCCTTTCTCTCTTTCTCTCTCTATACCTATACGACCACCCTTCGGGTGATAAGGAGGTTGTGGGGGGGAGAGGGGGGGGGAACCACTATCTGATTCAATCGATCTCACTATCGATCTCACTCAACGGGACACCACGGGACACCACGGGACAACACGGGACACTTGTCGATCTAACATTAGATCTCACTATCGATCTCACTCGACGGGACACCACGGGACACCACGTGCCACCACGGGACACCACATCGATCTCACTGTCGGTCTCACTATCGATCTCACTCAACGGGACACCATACGAAATCACGGGACACCACGGAACACCTCGGGGCACCACATCGATCTCACTATCGATCTCGCTATCGATCATACTCAACGGGACACCACGGGACACCACGGGACACCACGGGACACCTGTCGATCTCACTGTCGATCTCACTAGCGATCTCACTTTTTGGGACACCACGGGACACCTCGGGGCACCACATCGATCTCACTATCGATCTCAGTATCGATCTCAATATCGATCTCACTATCGATCTCATTCAACGGGACACCACGGGACACCATGGGACACCGCGGAACACCGCGAGCCACCGCTGGACGGGCGGGAGGGGGAGAATCATGTGTCTTGACTTCTCCCTAGCAGCGGCGGACACCACGGGACACCAGCGGGACACCAGGGGGACACCGCGGGCCACCGTTTGACGGGAGGAGCATCATTTGGTCCGGCCGCGGCCCAGCCACAAGAGGATTTCGGGACACACGCGGGACACCGCGGGGCACCGGCCGCCGGAGGAGTTACATTTGGTCCGGCCGCGGCCCAGCCACAGGAAGATTTCGGGACACCCGCGGGACACCAGCGGGATACCGCGGGGCACTGGCCGCCGGAGGAGTTAATTACATTTGGTCCTGCCGCGGCCCGGCCACAGGAGGATTTCCTCTCGCCCGCCCACGCAGCTTCGCCTCGCCCGCACGCACGCACGGCACGCACGACACGAACCCGAAACCGAAATCGATTTCCCTGTAGGGGGGGTCTCCGTTTCACGTCGGACTCACCCCCCAACCTCCGATATATATATATATATATATATATATACAAGACTGAAGTGGCGCTTCGCGCCATGCACCTTGGTCCTTGAAGTTTGGTATGCAGGCGGAAATGGCAGGAAGGTCAAGCCGACAATTTAGCGATAACTCCTTGCTGCCTTTTCTGGCATCGCCGTTATAATAATGTTGTTCGTTATACTTCCTCCATGCTTATTTTTCCTCATTCTCGCCATACCCTGGGCATTCTCCCCATCCTGCTCAGCTCCTTTTGCTGAGGCTCCTTCTTGGAGAGCCTCTGCGGGCCTCACCTAAGTTCTCAGGCTTTCTTAAAGCCTTCTGGAGGCCTCCTAGGCGTGCTCTGGGGGCCTCTGGGGCTTCCTAAGGCCAACCTGCCTCTAACCGCGGTCTCCCTGAACGCCCCGGTCACGATTTGGAATGCTTCGGAGGGCGTCTTGGGGCCATCTTGGGCCGCCATTGTGCCCTCTTAGAGCCATCTTGGACCCCTGTTGTGCCGTTTTGGGGCTATCTTGGACTGCCTGGAAACCCTTTCAGATGGTTGCGGGGCGATTTTGGAGCCTCTCAGGCGGCTTCGGACGCCCAGGAGACCTCTGGGGGCCTTCTTGGGGGTGCTCTTGGAGGCCTCTTGGTACGTTTTGGAGCGATCTTTCGGGGTATGACGGCTTCTTGGAGCGCTCTTGTGTTGTCTTGGGGGTCTCTGGGACGTCTCCGGTGACCCCCCTGATCGCCCTGGGTGTGCTGCGAAGGCTTGGCAAAACGCCCTGCGAGGCCCGGGGGGCCGCTTCGAGGCCCGTCCGGAGGGTCTCAAAACTTCAGATCTCGGGGGTTCGGTTTTAGGGGGGGGGCGGGGTCCCCCCGCCCGGGCTTATAAGAATATAGGAAGAGGAATATGTTTATATACTCCTTCTACCTATGAAATTACAAGGAAAAACCCAGCATGTCACCGTCCCCCCCTCTCCGTGAACCCGCACACAAACCCCAGACTCCCTCCGCGGCGCCTTGATGAGGCCACAGACGGCTCGTCCAAGAGGGCCACGAGACGCACAAGAATCGCTCCACGACGCCCAAGATAGTCCCAATATGGCCCAAGACGCCTCCAAGACGCCCCGAGAGGCGTCCAGGAGGCTTCCCAAGAGAGCCCCAAGAGGCAAAAATGGTTGTTTTTGTTTTCGAAGGTTTTTGAAGGATTCTTTGGGTCTCGCCTTTTCGGCTTCCCGACGCTCTAAGACAGCCCAAGAGGCCCCCAAGATCGCCCCAAAACCGCCCAAAACGAAACAGCCCCAAAACGGCCCAAACGGGCCCCAAGACAGCCCAAGAGGCCTCCAAGACGGCCCAAAAGGGCCCCAAGACGGCTCTAAGAGAGATAGCCCAGACGGGGGATCCGAACATACTTTTCGGGCCCTCGGCCCCAAGAGGCCCCCAGGATGCCGCAAGAAACGCCCTGGAGGCCCCCAAGAGGCCCCCAGAGGCCTCCACGAGACTCCCAAGAGGCCCCCGAGCGGTCCCCAAGAGCCCCCCAAACAGCCCCCAACAAGCACCGAACCCGGCCCCAAGAGGCTTCCGAAATGCTTCCAGGAGGCCCCCAAGAGACCTGCCCCCAAGATCCTCCAAGAGAGCCACGAGACGCACAAAAATCGCTCCACAACGCCCAAGATAGTCCCAATATGGCCCAAGACGCCTCCAAGACGCCCCAAGAGGCGTCCAAGGGGCTTCCCAAGAGAGCCGTTTTTTTTGTTGTAGGTCTGGGAGGTTCCTATGGGTTGACTTTTCGGCTTCCCCAAGCTCCGAGACAGCCCAAGAGGCCCCCAAGATCGCCCCAATACCGCCCAAAAAACACCCGAAACAGCTCCAAGACGGCCCAAACGGGCCCCAAGACAGCCCAAGAGGCCTCCAAGACGGCCCAAAAGGGCCCCAAGACGGCTCTAAGAGAGAGCCCAGACGGGGGATCCGAACAGACTTTTCGGGCCCTCGGCCCCAAAAGGCCCCCCAGGAGGCCCCCCAAAAGGCCCTGGAGGTCACCAAGAGGTTCCCAGAGGCCCCCCAAGAAGCTCCCGAGCGGTCCCCAAGAGACCCCCAAACGGCCCCCAACAGGCACCGAACCGGGCCCCAAGAGGCTTCCAAAATCCTTCCAGGAGGCCCCCAAGAGACCTGCCACGAGCTCCGAACGGTTTGTCCAGATGCTTCCATGAGCAGCCCGGACATCTCCAGGACAGCTTCAAGCGCGCTCCAAGGCCTCCCAAGATGGCTCGAAAACAAGCCCGGATGGCCAGTTGTCGTCGCCGAGTTTGTTCGTCGTCGTCGTCGTCGTCGTCGTCGTCGTCGTCGTCGTCGTCGTCCGAAAACGGCCCTAGAGGGCTTCAAGACAGCCCAAGAGAGCGCCTAGATGACCAGAAAAGGGCGCCAAGTGGATCCCCAATCAGACCTACAGAGGCCAACTTCATTCACTTCCCATTGTTTTAGCTTCATCACCTATTCTGTCACGAGTCTCTGAAGAGATTCCCAAGAAAGTCCGAGAAAGTTCCGATGCCACTCCCGACAACAACTCTTCGGAAATATCCTCCCCTCCTTCCCCTCCTCCTCCTCCTCCTCCTCCTCCTCCATATCCTTTTCTCCTTCTCCTCCTCCTCCCCCTCCTCCTACCCCTCCTCCATCTCCTCCTCCTCCACCTCCTCCTCCTCTTCCTCCTCCTCCTCTCCTCCTGCTCATGCTTGTCCTCTCTCTGCTTACCCTCTGCCCCTTCCTTCTCCCCCTCCTCCCTCTGCTCCTCCTTATCCGCCCCCTCCTACTCCTGTTCTTCCTCCTCCTGCTCTTCCTCCTCGTGCTCCTCTTACTCATCCTGTAGTGCGTGCCACCGATCTCGAGGGCCGTGCGGCTGGCGCCGCCGACCCCGAAGGGGGACGACGACGACGACGACGACGACGACGACGACGACGACGACGACGACGGCAGCGGCGATGACGACGACGACGATCTTGACCGCAGCGTCACTAGAGACCCGTCGGTGCAAGGATCAATATTAGAAGGCGAAGCGCAGCGAGCCTTAAAATCTTGTGTGTAGATGTATGGAACGAACTATCTATATGTCTACATTATCTGAATATAGCAGAGTTCTATGTTTTCGACCAAATTTGTACAATGATACTCATATACAAATATGTGTATACCTAGTTCTGTATAGACACATATATAACTATATGAAATGCATCGATGTATCTATACACCAGATCTATGTTTCAATATCTCTCTATATACGTATATCACTCCCACTGGCCTGCAGCGAAGGCGCGGCGCGCAGCTACCTTCGCGCCTCTCTGGGCTATGTACCTGGACAAGCGGGGGGGGTGGCCGAGCACAGCGAGGCTGAACTTGGGAGTTCGTGCGTATCCACCGCCTGGCTGGGAAGCCGATGTCCCAAGACCACAGGGGACGGTGGACCTCGTTGGGGCCCCCCGGGGGGCCCCAACATACGCCACCGTGCCCCCATGGCAGACCGAGGGTGGCAGAATGCTAAAGTTTGTCTGGTAGAGGGAAGTGCTTCTGTAAACCTTCTACGGGCCGCCCCGCCCCGACCACTCCCACGCACCATACTCAATTGTCACGCACTGCGGTCGGGAACTCTCGCTTAGCGTGTCGACGCAGCGGTCACGGCGACACGCTGTGCCATGCAAAGCGGGTAGCGTCGCTCCGCTCCGCGGGGCGGAAGGCTGAGAAGGGCTTGGGTCGTTGACTCTGGCGGGCCGGGAAATGGATAGCGTCTCGCAAGGAAGCGTGGTGGGCCAGAACCGGCGCAGCGACACACTGCCCCAAAGTTCCCGAGCATCCACTCGTTAGCGTGTGGGAAGCGGGTGCTGAGGGTCCTCAGGGAAACGGGTCCTGGACCCTGGGCCTTGCCCCGAGACGACTTTTCCACCCCGAGTCCTCTCCTGACAGCTCTGGGCCCCTGGGAGGCCCCGAAGGCCCGCAAAACGGCAAGAAGCCTCAGGACCCGTTTTCCTCCTGCCCTGCTTCCCCCCATGGCTTAAGCTCGCGCGCATGCGATCGCCCCCACCCCCCTCCCCACCGGCCCCGGCGGCCTGGTCGCGGAGACGGCGGCGGCGGCGGCGGCGGCGGCTGCGGCGGCAGCGTCGACGCAGCGCATGGGGGAGCCCCGGCGCGCCGCGGCGGCCGCTGCGTCGAGCCACCGGGAGTCCCGGAAGCCCACCTGCCGCCGGCAGGCAGTCATCGCCGCCGCCGTCCGCCGCGGTCCGTCGTGATCGCCGCCGCCGTCCGTCGTCCGTCGTCCGTCGTCGTCGACGTCATCGACGTCGTCGTCGACGTCGCCGTCGACGTCCTTCGTCGCCGCAGCTGTCCGTCGTCGCCACCGCCGTTCATCGTTGCCGCCAGCGCGGGGAGCAGCTCCGCTCCCTCCCCACCTGCACACCTCCCTGCCCGTCCCCTGCATCTCCTCCTCATCCTTCTCCTCCTCCTCCTCCGTCTGCTGTAAATCCCCCTCCTCCTCCTCCTCTTCCTCCTCCTCCTCCTCCTTTTCCTCCTCCTCCTCCTCCTCTTCCTCCTCCTCCTCCTCCTCCACCTCCTCCCAGTCCTGCAGTGCTTTTCTCGCAAGTACCTTCTCCCTCTCGCACCGAAAGACGGGTCGGCAGGGCGGCCAGGGCGCTTCGCCTGAGACTTTCTCACGATCTAAGAATCTGAAGCTGAACAAATGCAACAAACTTCAAGGACGGAGGGCTGGCGGTTTTCATTCTTGGTTTCAAGATGTGGCCCCGCCGCAGCACCGGGCACATACGTGGTACAAGTCCACATCAACTGCGAGGATGGAGGGCGAGTTGCTGTCAACATGCGGCTCATGCATTGGCGCCGCGCACAGTCGTAGTACAATCTCCGACAGCTTCAAGGATGGAGGGCGCTTCCATTTCCCAATGTCGTTCTCGCCTTAGCGCCGCGCGCATTCGTTTTAGAAGTTGAAGCAAACGTCAGGTTTCGTTTGGCTGTGGTCCCAAGAACGGGTATCTGGCACGATTTAGGACTGTCAGGCCGCAAGAGTCACGTTGACTTGCTGTGTTGAAATCACAGGACTGGTTTTCTGGTACGATACGACTGTGAGAACGCAAGAGTCAAGTTGATTCACGGCGTTGAAATCATGGAGGTTGTGGTTTGGCATGATTGAAGGTTCTTAGACGGTTGTCTTCTAATTTGCCACTTCCAGCGTTGAAAACAAATTACGCTACCGAGGAGCCCCAAATACTTAATTAAAATCTCTGGTGTTTGCTTAAGTTTATCAGATATGCGCAATTATGCGTTCTGAGCCCTCGTCGCGAATGTGCCCCTATGCCTCATCCAACGCCATATTGCTTGAACCTCCTCCCTCTTCCTAGAAACCTATCCTCCATCGAGGACAGATTCGAACCAGCCAGCGGCCGCGGTGCGGGACCACCCCCTGCGCACCCCGTCTGGCGTCGAGAAAGCGCCACGCTTGCTATGCCCTGGACAACCGTCGTGCATAGCGGCCGCGCTGAGGGACCACCCCCTGCGCACCCCCTACGGTGTCGAGAAAGTGCCACGCCTGCTATGCCCTGGACGACCGTCGTGCATAGCGGCCGCGCTGAGGGACCACCCCCTGCGCACCCCCTATGGTGTCGAGAAAGTGCCACGCCTGCTATGCACTGGACGGCCGTCGTGCATAGCGGCCGCGCTGAGGGACCACCCCCTGCGCACCCCCTTTGGTGTCGAGAAAATGCCACGCCTGCTATGCCCTGGACGACCGTCGTGTATAGCGGCCGCGCTGAGGGACCACCCCCTGCGCACCCCCTATGGTGTCGAGAAAATGCCACGCCTGCTATGCCCTGGACGACCGTCGTGTATAGCGGCCGCGCTGAGGGACCACCCCCTGCGCACCCCCTATGGTGTCGAGAAAATGCCACGCCTGCTATGCCCTGGACGACCGTCGTGTATAGCGGCCGCGCTGAGGGACCACCCCCTGCGCACCCCCTATGGTGTCGAGAAAATGCCACGCCTGCCATGCCCTGCTGTGCTGTGCTGAGCTGTGCTGTGCTGTGCTGAGCTGTGCTGAGCTGAGCTGAGCTATGCTGAGCGGTGCTGTGCTGTGCTGTGCTGTGCTGCGCTGTGTGAGAAGGGGAAGAGGGAGGTGAGGTGAGTGAGCGCGGGTGCGACGAGGCATGGAAGAGAACCATAACCCCACAAGCATGTGGGATATTGTTGTATGGACCTCCGCAGGGGGAACTTGGAGGTAGGGGTTATTGCAACATCAGTGATGCATGATGGGGTTGCACTGGTCCTCCTCCTCCTCCTCCTCCTCCGTCCCCCGGTCCTCATCCTCCTCCTGCTCCTCCTCCTCCTCCTCCCTCCTCCTCGTCCCTGCCCAGCCTGCTCCTGCTCCTCCCCGCCCGTCCCCTGATGCTCCTCCTCCTGCTCCTCCTCCTCCCCATCCCTGCCCAGCCTGCTTCTGCTCCTCCCCGACCTTCCCCTGATGCCCCTCCTCCTGCTCCTCGTTCTCCTCCTTCCTCCTCCTCCTCGCTCATCCTCCTCCTCCTCCTGCCGTCCTCCTCCTCCTCCTCCTCCTCCTCCTCCTCATCCCTGCCCAGCCTGCTCCTGCTCCGCCCCGCCCGTCCCCTGATGCTCCTCCTCCTGCTCCTCCTCCTCCTCCTCCTCCTCCTCCTCCTCCCTGCCCAGCCTGCCCCTGCTCCTCCGCCTGCGCCCCTGCTCCCTCCTCCCTCCCGGCCGGTGCAGGAGCACGAGCGCAGGGACGCGGAAGGCTTGGGGGCGTGGCGGGGCAAGACCGGCGGGGGGGCAAGAGTGGCAACCGGCGTCGAACTCACCGGCAAGCGCGGCAGGCCCCAAGCAGTGAGAGTCTGAGAGAACCCTTCAGATCGGCACCGAGGTGGGGATATGTTTCGAGCTGGTGCAGTGGGGAGCCCACGGGCGTCTCCGTTCTCTCGCGGGCGTCCCACGTTTACGAGCGGCGACGACGACGACCGACACCCCGGATCTCCGACGTCGCGGGAAAAAGTGCAGACGCCGCGACCGATCGCAGCGGGAGCCCTCGACCCCGCAGTTCTGAGGCACTCCCGGAGCTGGACCGAGCCGAGGGGGCCCCCCGGGCCCGCACCCGAGCGAAAGAAGCCTGGCGGTCAGATGGCGGCCCAACGAGTTGCTCGGTCCTCGCGGGATCGCCCCGAGTTGAGGCAGAGTGGCACGGAGGGGGAGAGTAGAGGGAGGATCGTGACGGGGGCGGTGACGAGGGAGGAGGGGCGGGGTGGAGGGGAGGCGCGCGGAGTAAGAGGAAAGATGCCGAGGCAGATGCTGAGGGGGAGTAGGGGGCCAGAGGAGCAGGAACACTGATACGATGAGGGTCATACCAGGAGGGCAAGGATGAAGGGAAGTCGGAGGAATACGAGGCTAGGACGCCCACCTTGCGACCCCATACCGCGCATCCCAGTTCGCCCTGGAAGGGTAATGCAACTCCTCCTCCCCTCTTTTTTGTCTATCTCCTCCTCCTCCTCCTCCTCCTCCTCCTCCTATCCTCCCTCCTCCTCCTCCTCCTCCCCTCCTCCTCCTCCTCCTCCTCCTCTCCTCTCCTCCTCCTCCTCCTCCTCCTCCTCCGCCTCCTCCTCCTCCTCCTCTCTCCTCCTCCTCCTCCTCCTCCTCCTCCTCTCCTCCTCCTCCTCCTCCTCCTCCTCCTCCTCCTCCTCCTCCTCCTCCTCCTCCTCCTCCTCCTCCTCTCTGTTCTCCTCCGCATCCCCGCCTCATCCTGGTCACCGTCTTTATCAGCCTCCTCCTCCTCCTCCTCCTCCTCCTCATCCTCTCTTCCTGACGTCCTCCTCCTTCTGATCCTCCTTCTCCTGCTCCTCCTCCTCCTCCCCCTCCCCCTCCTCCTCCTCCTCCTTATCCTCCTCCTCCTCCTCATCATCATCATCATCATCAGCAGCAGCATCATCAGCAGCAGCATCAGCATCATCATTCACTTCCTCCTCTTACTCTCCTCTGTGAAGGTATAATTACCTCCGTAGCTCCTTGCACTATCAAGGAGCATGGTGAACAAGTATGGGGCGCATTTGTAAGCAGCTGGAGACCATGGAATGATACGGCGGTGGTGGAGAAGCAGGACGCGGAGGGGGAGGAATACGCGGCGCAGGAGAAGGAGGCGAGGGCTAGAACTGGGACTAGGACTGTGGCCTGCCTCAGAAGAGGCAGAGAGGCAGGTCCAAGGACCAAGGCGAGGAGGTAGGGATGGAAAATGAGTGTTCGAGGATTATTGTTGGCCTCGCGCGCGCGCCCACAGAAGGGCACGAGGTCCAGAAGGGGGGCGGAAGGGGAGGGGATGGGAGGCTGAGGGAGGATGGCACCTCGAGCAGTGCACTCGTCCCCAAGAACACATGATAGGCTCTCGTACAGCCATCGTGCTACCAGAAAAAAAAGAACAATCAGGAACGACGGGGCGTCTCTGGCCCCGGATGGCCTGGGCCACAACCAGGTTGCACGACATCACTGAAGGAACGGCCCGAAACTCCGAGCCCCACCTGAGCCCACAGCGGCCCATGTTTCAGCGTCTCTCGACTGTACGACAGGAGACCCTTCCTGCGCGAAAACAAAGGCCAAGGAGTGCATTCGCCGTCCCTCTTGACTCTTCCTGAGGCGCCCCAAGGAATCTGTGGGTTCCTGGAGCCTCTCGGGGGTGACCAGTTGCTCTTGGGGCACCTGCTGGGGTGTCGGTTTCTTCTTCGATGCGCCGAGTGTTGCCAGGTGGTGCCGAGCCTTCCCGGCGGCGCTGCCGGAGGCGGAAGCTGCTCCACCGGGATCATCACTCACCCTGCCCCGCCCCTCGAGCTCCCCCCGACGTCCTGCCCCTGCTACCGCCCTCTACGCCGGAACGCGCTCACCTCGCCGTCCATCCCCCGGTCTCGGGGGCGTCCAAACTGCGGTGGGGGGCGTCCAAGAGGGGGAATTCCGCAAGACATGGGCCTGCCGCGCGTGCGAGGGCCAGAAGGGGGACCCTGGGGGCGTACTGACATGAGAGGAGGAGGCGCCATGAAGTCTGAGGAGATATCAATGCCCACCCTGCACCAGGAGCTCGGCCACAAGGAAGCTTCCACAAGAAACCCAACCCCGAGACCCCAGGACGTCCAGTGATTTGCGGTGTGTGAAAATCACGGTTTCCATAGCAAAACCATGGAAACCCAAGAAAAC